CTGGGGGGAAACCAGAAGCAGAGCAAGTGCCGTGGGATCCGTGGGTTTTTGGGTGACATGGATGTGGGTTTTTTGGTTTTGGGCCTGGGAGGAAACCAGAAGCAGAGCAAGTGCCGTGGGATCCGTGGGTTTGGGTGACATGTCTTGGGGTTTTTTGGTTTTGGGCCTGGGGGGAAACCAGAAGCAGAGCAAGTGCCGTGCGATCCGTGGGATCCGTGGGATCCGTGGGTTTTTGGGTGACATGCCTCTGGGTTTGTTGGTTTTGGCCTGGGGGGAAACCAGAAGCAGAGCAAGTGCCGTGGGATCCGTGGGATCCGTGGGTTTTTGGGTGATATTGTCTCCTTGACTCTCTGTATCTCTGTCTGTGTGAGTGAGTGTGAGTGTCTGTGTCCGTGTCTGGGTCTGGGTCTGTGTCTGTGTGCGTATGTGCGTGCCTGGGTGCACGCAGATTTCGTTTGACACGCTACAAGCCGCTGCTTGAGTATTTCCTTTCTACTTGAACCAATGCTTCCCATTTCACTTCCAGCTTTGTGTTTTGTTCCGGGCCTCAAACAAATCCGAACAAACGTTATGCAAGCGGCTCCCAGGTCTCTACGGTGCGGATGAAGCAGAGCCGGCACCTTGAGGCCTTGGCGCCTTGGCGTACGCTGAAGGTTGTTGATAGAGGTTGCTCTCCCACCCAGGAAGGGACCGTGCCCAATAGCTGTGGCTGGGGGTGTGTAGGTCAGCCCATGGATATGGCGCGAGAGGTTACATGAATCTGACAAGAGGCGCTGAAAGGAACGCGCTCCGCCGCACTCGTAAGTGTTTTTTGGAAAGGGATGGTGCCGTATAAGTATAAGGTTTGACCCATTGGAGCAATCACATATTTTGACCTTTCTCATATGAATCCGCGGTCATTGCAGATCCCCCCGCGCCGGCAGAGCCCCTACCCCTGACGTGAGGCACATCAAGGGCCTTGGGGTTACTTGGTGAAGCTTTTTGCCTTTCAGGGAGAGGTGCTTTAGGTTTGTTGAGGGTTGAGGATGTCGAGTTTGGAGAAGTTTTTTGATTAGATAGAGATGGCTTTGGGCCGATTGACGGTCGGTTTGGAGCGTGCGCGTTCTCAGGAGCGGTTGAGGGCTGAATTTCATTGAACCGGCCGTCAACCAAAGCAGCCCAACACTGTGCCTGATCAAGCCAACCAACCAGAAGCCAACGCTGAGCCCAAGTTCTTGACGCCAGTCAGCTGCCCAAAAGCGCGGGCCAACCGAACCAGGGCTAAGCCCTCCAACCATGGGTACGACCCAGTAGCCGGCAACAGGCATGCCAGCCCTGTTGAAGGGTTGTTTCTGTTCCATGACTTCGGACCGGGGCCACTGTTGGACCTAGGAAATGCTCTATGAGTTGGAGCTCTACAGCCCTAAGCTCAGTGAGAAGCATGGGAACCTGAAGACCTCTTGACACCTTTGCCCAGGTCCCTACAATGCAGAGGAGGTGAGACGTGCATGTATGCGGTGCTGGGAAGTCGATTGTTGTGTGGTGAGGCACCGGAATTCTTTGCCACGCTGTACCGGAACTTGGCAGCAGGCCCAATAGGCTTCAAGACACGGGCCATATGGCAAGGTCGTTGACGCAAGCCTATGGTTTCGTATTTGGTTTAGGCCCCGATCCATTTCATCGCTCAGGGGCTGAGGTATTCTTGCGTCAAGGTGCATAATGCCCCCGGCCCCTTTCACAACAGCAGGGCCCCCTTTCTACCACTTCTGACGCTGCCTTCAGCGGCCATGCGGGATATTCGCTCGCCGAGGCTTGGGCGCTGAAAGCTTTGGGCCGGCTCGAGGAGGCGGCCGTGTACTTTGCCAGGCGACGTCTAGGGGGGGAACGGAGCCGCGTGCGTTGGAGGCGTGGGCTTGGGGGCCGAATGGGCGACTCTGGGGGAGGGCTAAACGGCTAAAATGTGCGCGACCCGGTGAGGCGGTAAATGAATAGAGTGACAAGTTTGCGTCTTGTGGCAGGATGGCATCTGCCTCCCAGCAGGCAAAGGCAGGCCCGTTGCGCTTTCGACTTTTTGGCAACATGTCCGTTTGACAGGTCAATTTCGTGCCCATTTCATGGATGACTGACTGAAAGAATGCCGCATGCGCAATCCAGTGGGTGAATCCGCACACGTTCAGTTTCCAGCGCTCGCCCATGTCTCGAGTCTTGGGCTCTGAGGGTACCTTGGACTGGTTCGACCAGTGGGACATCGGAAAGCTCGCCGCGGCGCTGGGAGCCCCAGCACACCGCAGGAGGGCACGAGGGCAGGCGGCTGGGTTTCGCGGTTCGGGGTCAAGAATCAAACCACTAGATGGACCGAAGGGTTTTAGTCCATGTTTCCATTTACCAGGGTTCCATGGGGTTACCCTATTTTTGACCACCCAACTGTTGGGCAGGCGCGGCTTCCGAGACGGCGACATGGACGAGTTCTACCGGGGGCGCGCCCAGGTGGAGACAGCCCGGGGCCATGGGGCCGGTGGGGACGACGCATGGACGGATGAACCGACGGAAATGATGACCACGCTGTCACTTAAGATGCTTTCCAGAGGCCCTGCAGCTGCAGATCGAGCAGGAGCCAGATGACCTCGTCATGCGGGCCAAGGAGGGAGGGGGAAGGAGAGAGCAAGAGAGCATGCGTGGAGCTTGCCAGCAAATCTTGTCAGGTCCATGACTCCTTGGCTGAATGCTACATGGTGGTCAAGGACGCGGGGCAACTCGAGCCATGCTCCAAGTCAATGCGCACTTTGGTTATGCGCAGATACTGTGCTGGGCCTTCTTCAACAGCCGGTTGTTAATCGGCCGGCTCAGCCTGTCACGCACTCTTTTCACCACTGCAGCCGTGTCGGGATGGGCCCGCGATGAGACCTGCTCGAAGTTGAATCCAACAGCATCAAAATGACCGTGGGAGCAATAGACTTGAGCTGCTGGGTTCGCCGCTGTTGAAGGAGTACCCCAAAGCGCACGAGCATTATGCAGCCGCCTACGACCTCCTGTTGCGGACCGTAGGCGCTTCCATAGCTGAAGACTTTGCGGCGTTCTTCTATCATTTCATCAATGCTTGTCAGACGTTCTTTTGAAAGAGGGTTGTTCAACATGAAGAGGCTGTTTGACTACTGCAAGCAGAGCAAGGGGGAAATTTGGGCCAGCCTGAGATTCCCTGCGCGGCGCAAGGCCGCCAGTCGCCGCTTTTTGGAAAGCAAGCGCGGCATGCTGCCGGGTCCTGAGCGCAAAGTCGTTGTGGACCGGTGACTGCTGGAATATCACGTCACCAGAAACATCGAGACTCGCACAAGGCGTCCGTCCCCAATTCCCCGCTGATTTGAGATGCAGCTCTTTTAGAAAGCCGCCATGTGCAGGCCAACTTGCAGATCGCGCAGGGCTTCCATTCGGAGGCGCTATTCGGAAGACGGAACTGAGTTGACCGTTCTGCATCCTGGGAGGCTTTGCCATTCCTTGGCGAAGCACTGGAGGTGGAATCCAGCAAGGAATCACGCGGTCCCTTATGCTTGAAGGTTTGCTTGGAGTGGCCTTCACTCTGCGAGTGATTTCGGGATTGAAGCTTGACACTTGTTAATTGTAAACGCTGCGCGTTGCCCGCCTCGGCCAAGCCGAGCGCGCAGCATCTGTGGTTCGACTGCAAGCAGCAGAGCTGGTCAAGTGGCGATTCAGGCATGGACAGGTTCTGGCGTCGTTGGACCAATTAATAGTCATGGGCCCGCAGGAATCCCGCAGGAATCCCCGAGGCAAGGGCAAGGCGATGCACAGGACAGGGCGAGCTGGGCTGCGCCTTGCTTGGGTTGGTTGGAGGGCCTGGGCTGGGCGGGCTGGGATGCGCCTTGCTGGGTGGTTGCTGGTTGGGCAAGTCTCAGACACTGGGCTCGGCCCGAGGCTAGTCTCAGAGATGTGAGTCTAGTCTCAGACATGCCAGGTTGGGACAAGGGTTTGCCGTGTCCTGCTTGAGCGCAACTGCGCTGCCCAGCAAAAAGTTCGGACCAACACGCTAGTAAATGGCGTTTCTCAACGCGTTTGCGAGAAAAATGAGCCCATGGAGCTGGAGAACCCCGAAAATTTCAAGGCCCGCCGGACAGGATCTTAGGGCAGCCGACATGGGTGGGCCGCAGAAATTTTGGGCGGGGTTGGGGAAGAGCGCCCTTGGTTTTCTTGGGGTCGAGGCGAATTTGGTATAGCAATGCAATGCTGTCATGTTTCCCAAGCTACTGGGTGAGCCATGATTCTGCGCTTGCAGATTCACCCGCCGCAGGATGCTGTTAATGCCTCTGAGTTGTTGGAATTGGCCGCAGACCTAAACGGCCCACCAGTTTGCATGCTCCTCAATCGTTGGTGCCTTTGCCGTGCTCCAACCCTGGCAGCTCAGGTGGACGTCATTGTCAACGCACAGCAGCAGCAGCCTTATGGGACAGCTGTGCTCTAGCGTTGAATGTTTGGCCTGGATCTAGCTAGATCTTGAGGCGGGCTTCTTCCGACACCATGGCCAGCTTGCCATCGAATCACAGAGCTTTGAAAAGACTGCAGACGTCCTGGCCTGTTTCTTGCATGTTGTCACCGAGCTGATGCTTGTGTGTTTTTGAGCTGTCTCGTACTGGCTCAATGGTCCAGGCAAAATCTCAAAGAACGTGGCCTGGATGGCACAACGGAATATGCCATCCTTTGCCACAAGATGTCGCTGCAGCGCACCCAGACTGCTTGACTTGCAGGGCAGGTGAGTGAATGCAGCTCACTTGCAACTGCACCTGCGAATCGTGGCAAGAATGTGCAAGACTGGGCTGCACAGATCTTCAGCTAAACTCAAAAACGCCAAAATGATGCTTGGGGTGGTCAGTTGGGGAAGGCTCCATGCGTTGCCTACTTGGATCTGATCTGGAGAGGTGGAGTACCAATTTCCACGATGTTGTGATAAACCCGTTCTCAACCCTATATCAGCCGATCCACTCTGAACATGATGCCAGGATAGGGGTGACCATCATTGCACGATTCCTTTCTTTGGTTCTAGCTATTACAAGGCTTGGTCATGTCCTGCCTGTTACTTGGTGCATTGCATGTGTTCTCCACTGGCTTCGTGGCATGTTTTGTCCATAGTTTAAGCTTCCATTGTCCTTCCAAGTGACGGGGGCTCCTCCCAGATGTCCCTGGATTTTCCACTGAGCTTTCGAAGACTCGATCGGTTTGGTGTGTTTACCGTGCCTGAGGCTGTACCTTCACGAAGGACAGGCGGACCCCAACGCCGTCAGGCGTGCGGCAGCAACTGGGAACTCCCTCGCCACAACCCCCGTGGATTGCATACCAACACACGTGTATGTATATGTATATATATATATATACACATGTAAATATACATATAGATACAGATGCTATCCATACACAGTACACATAAAAAGCACAGTATACGCACATCCACCTGTATTATGTGAGATGTTTGACAGGAGTGCAGCCCAGTTTGGTGACTTGATTCTTCAGAGACGGCCCTACTGGCGAGTCCACAAACTTGGGGTTCCTTGGAGCAAACTCGGTGCACGGGAGAGAGAAAGCGAGAGAGCGGGAGTCAGAGCTGCCTTGCGGCGATCGTTCAGCTTGCACGAGATGCAGCACGTTGGTTTGCCCATCCCGTCGCAGAGTTTTGGCTGAAGTGACCGCAATCCTTCCCAGCTGGCTTTGTTCCCGACTCGCACTTAAGTTGCCATGGGTCAAAAGCAAAAAGCCCGTAACCCCAGTGAACATCCGATTCAATCCCCACGAAAATAGACTAACATGGGTGGTGCACCTACCCCAAAATGGGATCCATTGGTTTTGACCCACAGCCAAGTGGGTTTGCTTGAGTGCGCATGCCTGCGAGACCTTGGGCGGTTGCACAGAAGCTGCGCGCTAAGGAGAAGATGGCCACAGCTGGATCGACCGGAGGCGTGCGCTCGGAGTGTGGAGTTCTGGTGATTGACGGAAATGAAGTCAGGGCCTCAGGACAGACATCAGATCAGTGGCCATGCGACGGTTATGCCATTTCTTTTTTGGATTTCAAGGAAGACAGGACTGTGTTGCTAGTATGGGTTCAGCCAAGTCAAGCCACATGGGAGACTGCTTTGCGGTTTTCCCTCCTGCCACTGCGAGGCGTTACTGGGTATGGTCCCCGAGGACAGCCATCATCCAGGCGTACCTGACTTGTTGCCGATGTTCCTTGTTTGTACCTTTTCTCGAATAGTCTCTCTCTCTCTCTCTCTTTCTCTCGCTTCAGACAGATCAAATTCAACTGGGCACGGACACATCTACACGCGAGGTGCGAATGCGCACGCCAGGCGCGCTCCGCAAGGTGGGCCACGTGGACTCCCACATGGCCTCCCGCACGCGGCGCGGGGGGCAGTCCGCCCCGCGGTTCGGGCGGGCCCGGGAAGTGGAGGAGAAGGAGTTCCTGCGGAAGGTGGCAGCACGCGCTGAGAGCGAGCCTTGGCGGATGGGTGATACTTGGAAGTAGCGGATGGCCGTCGTGGGAGAACACGCAACACGGAGATTTGTTGGTTGCTGGCGGTTGCATTTGCTTTGGAGAGCAGGGGCGCAGGAGATCTTTCCTGGCTTTGCTTTTGCCAGAGGGACCTTGGAGCAATGGAAACTGGGCCGTCGGCTATTGCTTTGTACTTGCATGTGGGAGTTCGCCCTGAGTTGTTGTGTCCTGCTAGGACATATAGTTAGATTATGTTTAGCCCTCGTGTGCTGTTGTGTATTGAGCAAGAAGTCGAGGTATTCGCCAGTGCCGCAAGTATCATTCTTGGTGGTCCTGCAAGAATGAAGTACAAACTGGTGCCGGAGCTGTCCCCAACCTTGCGCACGAAGATTCTCCGCATCACGACCTTGAACTGCAACGCTGGCCTGCTGGGCTTGCGCAAAGCTGCTGCGCAAGTTGCTGATGCCCGGGAGAACCAGATGCAGATTTCAGAGACAAACGCAGTTCAGCACTTCTTAAGCTATTTGCAGGAGCACCCAACTTGGACTTGCTATGGAGAGGCGGAGACCAGGAACGCTCTGGAGCTGGGTGCTGTTAAGGAGCTGCTGATCGATTGTCGAGAAAACATTGGCGGGTGGCTGCAGCAGTCGAGAGCCTGTGGGTCAACAGTTAGGCAAGTCCAAGCAACCACAGATTCTGGTGACTTTTTCTGCCGACACTTCCGGGTTGCCGGCCTGCTGCGTTGGCCAGTGCAGTTTTTGGATGAAGTGGAGGAGAGCGATTCTGACTCTGACGTCAGCACAGCTGCCAGCAGCTATGATGTGCTTCCCTGGCTGCAAGATGCCTTCCTGCGCGCAGGGCTAGACGAGGCCGCTACCGAATCCCTGGCCATGTGCGTTGACGTTGTCCTCTCGTGCGAGGACCAGAGCCCCGAGGAGCGTTTCGACGACGCCTTGGAGCTCCTGCGCGGCCAGGGCGTGCCGGCGGAGGCGCTGGAGGAGTTCTGCCTGCAGATCGGCGCTGTGTCCGAGTGAAGGTTGGCGGACGTGCGGCGGCCGCGCGCCCCGCTATTCGGCACCCGCGCGCGCGGAGCCCGAGACGGCGCGCCGAGGACCCAGAGATCGGAGGGAGGGAGTAGACAGCTCGGCTAAGCGCGCGGGTTTTTGACCGCATCGAGTGTTGCGGTCCCAAGTGGACAGCGCTCGAAGCAAGAACCGGACGGTCCGCAATTTTGGGGCTTGGTCTGCCCTTTTTGGTTGTGTATTTTATGCCATGTACAGTGTACAGAATTTGGTCAGACACTGCTGCCTCAATTTTGGCGCAAGGTTTGTGAGTGAAGGTTGAAAACCTTCAAACTCAGAGTCCTCTTTTGTGCCAGCTGTCCTTCTTGTGCTAGGTTCAACAGCAAAGGTAAGCTGGTTTTCTATAGGGCGAGGCTTTATGGGCATGTTACAGAAGACGTCAGGAGCAAAGCCGGCCTTCCATGAGCAGCGTAGCAAGCGGCACATTCTGGACTCGACCTCACCAGAGAGCAAAACAGGCTGAGAGCTCCAAGTCAGCGCTCTGGTTCCTTCAAGACGAGGGCCAAGGCCCCCACTCCTCCTGTTATTGCAGGCGAGCCCGCAGGCTTGCCAAGGCATCTGCCTGGGGCCTGGACCAGGTTGAAAGTGGTGACAGAGTAGAGGCGTCTGAAAGTTAGGGGGCTCTTCAAAAAGACAGCCACGCATGCTGCCTAGGTGCGGATTCTTCGAGCTCAGCAAGGAGATCGCAACGCCAGTGCCCCATTTACCCTATTTCATGATGGGTTCAACAAGGATTCCCACTCCTGACAAGGCGACGGAGTGGCTGGGTATGGCCGAAATTCATCTTCGATTACTGGATTCAGCAAAACAAATTAAGTAACTGAACACACGGAGATTTCGAAGGATTTGACATTGTCACGATTTTGAATTGAGATGTGCGAAAATATACAAAAATAAACGAAAATCGGGAAACGACATCTCGTGTATGTATTTAAGGGCTTAGCCGGGCGCCGGGAGAGAAACGCCATTGACAACATGAATTTGCCACGTGTTTTTTATGATTTTCACAACACATTTTTGAATGCATACAAAGCTATTAAAAACACATGGTGTTTTTTAGTTATTTATCGAAAATCTTATTAGGAATCGGATTTGGTCGGGGAGAATTGAGCCCTCTTTGTTAAACAGGTTTTCTGTATTTGTTTTTTACGTATATGTTCGGCTTAGATTTTTTACAAAATTATCGAGAAAACAATATTGTTTTATGGATTTTACCGAACATTTTGCGAACATATTACGAATATATATATATATATATACATATTTTTTTTACTCTATAAAACGAAATCGTGAAACTTGCTCGTCGCATTTCCGCGCGTTTTCTCGGACCGCTTTTCCGCAAAAAAATCCCGGATATTTCGGAAAGTTGGTCTGGACTGCCCCTGGAAGATACATCCGCTTCATATTTCCTACGGACCGCTTACCCAAATCTGTCCGGGCTACCCCGGTCAGAATCCGGAAGATGTAGTGGCTTCATTTTTTGTAGGGACCAACTTCCCGAAATATTCCAGATATTTCGGGAAAATCGTAGCCACCCACCATTTTCTCGAAATATTTCGAATATTTCGGGAACTATTTTCCTGAAATATTCCAAATATTTCGGGAAATATTATTATCGAAATATCCGGAATCTTTCGGAAAAATTGTTTGGAGTGCAATTATCGAAATTTCCGGGATATTTCGGAAAATGGTCCGGGCTTTGAACGAAGCTAGATAAAGAGTCGGGGCATATATCTGCCTGTCCGTAGCAATTTTCGCTGAAATCTTGGCCCATCTTCGAGAAGCTGTGAGCCGCGGCCGATTGTTGCGACCAGTGGTGTTTTTCCCAATGCTTTGGGCGAAATTAGTTCGGCTTTGCTTGCACCCAGGATGTTTTCTGGTCGATCGCGTTTTCGCTTGCGCTAGTAACAGCTGCGTGTGTGGATGGATCTTTTGAGGCCAACAGCCCGCGGATCCGTTCTCACCTTGCTCAGGCGACCGCCTTTCACTGACTCTTTGGCGTGACCTTATCGCGACCAGCCCGGCCCTCAGTGCGTCTCGCGACCTGTGTTTGGAGAACGGCAGCATGTTTTTCGCATGCGACGAGTATACATTTTTTGACACATATGAGATGATAAAATATGTTGGTGCCTGAGTTGCGAAAATGTCTTGCCGGCGCGGGCTCGTCTTGTGAGCAAAATGGTAAACAGTCTATACTGATTCTGTGAGATATCTAGATGTATCGAAAAGGTGATGCACAACGCTATGTACATGCGGGACGGATGTGAAACTATTGATCTCTCACTGAATAGTGAGGATCAATCTGGTTGTAGTTCGTAGTCTCGATCGTGGGAATCTTCTCAGTCGGTCGAATAAGTGCCAAAGGTGGCTGCTTCATCAAGTAATTAGCGGTACCACCGGCGGCTGTTGTCGGATTGACTGCCATTGTCTCATCGCTCCAGGTCAAGTCGCCATAATCTTTCCATTGCTTTGGATTGGTCCAGTTCTGCTTGTTGTACTCCTTGTACTCTTGCTGAGTCTTCTTGAGGTGCTCCTTGGCTCTCTCAAAGTTGCGTCGCCTGGCGGCAGATCTACTGCGGATGTAGACCATGAGCGGACTGTGCGAGTCGGAATCTTGCGAGTCATTCATGAACATATCGTTGTTCACGTGCTTGAAGCGTTCCGCAGATGAGACCTGATAGTCGAAAATGGCAGACGTTGGATCGGTCCGCACGGCTTCCAGTTGTTCATCTCTCATGGCGTTCATCTCTTCATGCCGGAAAACCTGCTGGATATTCGTTTTGCCCCATCCAAACACGAATGTCATCATCACATCTGGGAATGTTCGGTCAAACCCTAATCCAGTCTTCATGTTAAGTGATTTCCATTGCATACTCCATTCTGTCCACGAGTGGCAGATTCTCCGTTTCATTCCACAATCTCTGATATTCCTTCATGAGGATATTCATGAGACCTTTGGCCGGATTGAAGACGTGTTGGAGTCTGCTGCAGGTATTTGTTGGCGTCCAGTGATCGCATCGCATTGGTACAATGTCACGAGTGGAATGGCTGATTGATGGATGAATGTGGAGCCTGGACCTTGGCCCCTGAGAGCTTGGCCCTTCTTTAGCACCCGCCTCAACTTACCTTAATTGCTGGTTTGGATTGGTGATTTGGGGATTGAACTCCTGGATCATGTTGAAGTTGAATGGGAAACCACCCCCTAACCTCCAAAACACCGATCCAAACTACCAATCCAAACCGGGCCGGTAGCAACCCGGGGTGCCCAGTCCAAAGAGGGCCGCCGAACACCTGCAACCACCTTGCGGCGGGGCAGCGCCGAGACAAGCCCGTGAGAAACCGTTTCCTGCTGGCTCGCTCCACTGGGCGAGGGCGCCAGGGGACAAGCGGCCAGCGGCCGCGTGCAACTGGGGCACGCGCAGCCGAGAGCTCGCACGCGCGTTCTTGCAGCCTGTTTGCATCACGGCTCTCGGGCTCGGAGTCGGACTCGTGCACGTGCGCAGGCAAAGCCTGTGGCATGTCGACATCAGAATCCGGCGCGCTGCGCGCCGGAGGTGTGTCTCTTTTTGTCTCTGTCTCTCTGTCGGTGTCTTTCTCTGTCTCTCTTTGTCTGTTGGTCTCTCTGTCTCTGGTATTTGTTTCTTTGTCTGTCTGTCTGTCTGTCGGTCTGTGTGTGTCTGTCTGTCGGTGTCTGTGTCTGTGTCTGTGTCTGTGTTTGTGTCTGTGTCTGTGTCTGTGTCTGTGTTTGTCTGTGTCTGTGTTTGTCTGTCTGTGTCTGTCTGTCTGTGTCTGTCTGTCTGTGTTTGTGTAATTGTGTGTTTGTGTGTTTGTGTGTTTGTGTGTTTGTGTGTTTGTGTGTTTGTGTGTTTGTGTGTTTGTGTGTTTGTGTGTTTGTGTGTTTGTGTGTTTGTGCTTGTGTGTCTGTGTCTGTGTCTGTGTGTCTCTGTGTTTGTGTTTGTGTGTCTGTGTTTGTGTGTCTCTGTGTTTGTGTTTGTGTTTGCGTTTATTTGTGTTTTTTGTTTTTGTTTTTTGTTTGTTTGTTTGGTTATTTATTTATTTGTTTGAAATTGATATTGTATAGGTTAATCTTTATGTATTTATAAAATTTAATTGATATTATGAAAATTGGAGGGTATGATGTATAGGAATGCATAATATTTAAGATTAAGATTTGAAATATTATATTTTGAATTATATAGATTAGATTGTTATAAATCTGAATAATTTAATGATGGAGGTTATTGATATAAATTATTGGGATATGAAGCCCGAAAATCTTTTGGTTGTTGTTTCGGTTTGGAAATATTATACGGATTTCTTTTATTTAATTGATTTTATGGAGGAATAAGAAATAATATTTTAGAGGAATGGAATAATTTATTTTAAAAATGGATTTGATTTTTTGGTTTTTTGAAAAAAAAATTGAGAAAGATGATGAGACGGTGAAATTGGCCGATTTTGTCTTAATTTAAGAGATTCGAATATATGATTCTTTATTGTAATGAGAAGATATATATTATAAAGAATATATCAATAATTTAATTTATATAATATATATTCCTAAAAAATACCTTAATTTATAATAAATATTTAATATATATTTATATTAAATATAAAAATTCATTTAATATATTTATATTATTTTCTTAAATTATTATATAATTATATTGTCTTTATAAATTAGTATGGTTTTGGAATTATATATTTTTTATATATTATAGATGATATTTTAATATGTTCGTGATAGCTTAACCAAATAATATTTTATGAATTTTGGCTCGTTTCCGGCGACTCGAATCTCCGATTTTATAGACGTGTCCCTCTTTTTCTTGTTCTTTTTTCTCTGTTTCTTTTTCTCTTATTTTCTTTTTTTCTAATTCTTTCTTTCTTTCTATTATTTCTGTTATCTCTATTTTTCTGTCTTTCTTTCTGTATTTCTCTATCTTTGTTTA